TGACAGGGTAATCGCATGAACTCATGTGAGTTCACAGGGTAAGCGTCTACTGTTATGTATGCATCACCCGCCATGCGAATTCACATGCAGTCAAACTGTTACACTCGGGAATAGGACGCAATTAGTTTACATATTAGACGACGACATGTATAGTTATCTAAACATTTCGCTTGTGAGCTGTGACACCGACACATCGTATCGGTCAACTAATAAATGATGGTGACCGTAGTGTCGATTTCAGTCGTTCTTCCTTATAACTATGTTAGAGCTGTTTTGTGTAAGAAGCACGAGCTGTTTTGTGTAAGAAGCACACCTGTATATATCTGTTATATCAAATTTACTATTAACTACGAAAACTTTTGTTGTTTGCGTCTTTGTTAGATTTATTTGTATGTATTTTTGTTTTAATTATTTAGTCAGTTGTGTTGTATGTCTGTATTGTATGTTTACACAGTTTGGCTGCTGGATCTCAATTATTGTCACATTCACCTATTATGTCTGTTTGGGTGGCTCACCCAATTTTGTAAATATAACGGATAAATAAACAACCGTGATGCATGTAAGAGGTTTACCTAGCTATAAAGCCAGGTTTAACCCACCATTTGAGAGGCTTGTATAGGGTATATTGGGATACGGGATATTTGCCATTTATTTGTCCTAAAAATAAATGGGATATGGGATATTGGTGCATTTTTAGGGATATTGAATTTTGAAAATGAAAAATGAAAAAAAAATGTGAAAATTAAAAGTTAAGTACAGAAATATTTTTTATCTCACTTGATAAAATAGCCAAAAAGAATTTACTAGAAAAAGTTATTTAAGTGCTTTGTTGATTTTCATTGAGTTTTGATATTATAAAACACCCACGCAACCACGCATCCCAAATTGCATGATAGGACCCAACACTTACTATTGATCACTATTTTAGTGTTTCGGCAGTTAAAGCTTGGGATTAGAGGCTTTGGCTTGGGATGGTCATTTTAGATGCATTATTTTAATATAATCAAATATGAAAATTATTCATGTATATATTGATATATTTATATTTTGATTCTTCATCAATAGGTCTAGTTATTATGACAGATCTTCCATCATCAGGGGTCCAACTGTCAATTTTATGTTAAAGTCTTCAACTTTGATCTACTAAGCATATCTCCAAAACTTTTATGTTTGCTATACGCATCTATTGGTGCAGCATTGAATATTTATACACAATCTTCGTCAAACTGTAATAAATGCCCGTTTCTTTATTTTACGTATATATACATATGGGTTATATTTAGTTATCAAAACTAACGGAATATTTTCTTTTTCCTTCGATTTATTTTGCTGTAATAATTCAGTACGGTCAATTGATAAAGCATCAGTAATACTATCATCTATTTCGACGTTATCATAACCCCTATCTAATAATTTCACTTTGAAATTAGTTAGATTGTTTATTAAATTGTTATGGTCATTTGTGTTTCTAATTTGCCGTATTGCTTCACCTTTAATAAATCCTCGGAATACATGCTGTGAGTGACAGCTATTTCTATGCAGATAGAGATAAGAATTTGTTTCTTTAAAATGTATTTCAAGGTCAAGAATGCCATGTATTGTAAATCTTTGACCTTTAATTACATGAACATCTAAGAACGACATTTTGTCGTTTGAGATTTCATAGGTGGACTTCAATAAGGGGTTATAATTATCTGCTAGACAAAAAGAATCTGCAATTTCATCTGATGTTCCATCATATATTATGAATCCATCGTACCTATATTTTTAACCTATAATATAAAATTAAACAGACCTAGAAAAATCCTATTGCACGAGTTTGCTATCTATTTATATCTATAGTTATGTTTATAAATCGCTTATATGACCGTCGGCAGTCTTCGGAGGTCAACTCGATAGTTAATTAGATGGCGTCTAGACTAAAATACACAAGAAACGATGAAACATATTATCGAGCCCATGCCTTGTAAATTGTTTATTTTATACTTTATATAATTTGGATATATGTTTTAGTATGCTATAAATCAAATATGAGAATTTGAGTCAAATCGATGAACATGAACATTCCGTCGTCGGCGACGTCGTCGGCGGCGGCGGCGTCCACAAATATTCACTCTGTGATCTAAATTCAAGGTATCTATAGTAGTCGGTATGTATGGATATTCAAAATTGCACGGTAGTATTTTGAATGTGTATGGCGTTTGCATTTTTGTCGAGCCTTCGACTTTTGTCGAAAAAGCGAGACATAGCGATCCTACATTTCGTCGTCGTCGGCGTCCACAAATATTCACTCTGTGGTTAAAGTTTTTGAAATTTTAATGACTTTTTTAAACTATCCTGGATTTCTACCAAACTTGGACAGAAGCTTGTTTATGATCATAAGATAGTATCCAGAAGTTAATTTAGTAAAAAAAAAATCAATTTTTTTCCGTATTTTACTTATAAATGGACTTAGTTTTTCTGCCAGGAAATATAACATTCACTCTGTGGTTAAAGTTTTTAAAATATTAACTTTCTTAAACTATTCTGGATTTGTACCAAACTTGGACAGAAGCGTGTTTATTATCAAAAGCTAGTATCTAGAAGGAAATTTTGTTAAAATTTTGTACCTGTTTTTCTGTATTTTACTTACAAATGGACTTAGTTTTTCTTCCAGTTAACATTACATACAGTCTGCAGTTAAAGTTTTTAAAACATTTATTAGATTCATAAACTATCCTGGATTTTTACCAAACTTGGACAGAAGCTTCTTACAATCAAAAGATAGTATCGAGAGGAATATTTTTAATAATTTTTTTCCTCATTGTTGTTGAGCCTGCGATTAACAGCAAACGTAGGCGAGACACTGGGTTCCCCGGAACCCTTACAATTTTTTTCCTTCATGACTGAACATATATCGACATCGTAGTTGTCTAGCAAATTCACTGTAGTCTTTTAGTATAGACATTTTTGCATTTTTGCTTGATGGCGTTGGTATAAATTTCAAGCCTTTCGCCAACAGGATATATTCCTGATTTGATAATTTGCGTTTTAATAGATTAACTTCATGCTTTGTTGCATGTGCAGCTCTTTGCTGCATATTATATTCATTCCGTTCTTTTTTTTATTGTAGAAATGGATTTTTTGCTTCTCAGCATTTCTATTAAAACGACGTGTCATCTGTGAGTTCACATTGGGTGATTCTCTTAGCTACGTGCCTTTGATGAGCTCACATTTGGTGGCTCACGCTTATCTCTACAGTAACTTTTTATTTGTTACAAACGCTTAGTTATATATATTGGTTATTCCAGAGACATTTAGATTAAAATTTAAAGGTCTCTGGATAATTCTGAATGATTAACCTTTCTCTGTGAAAAAGTCCACATCCTTGACATCCATACTACAACGCACAACATGTATTTACGAATGTTGTATACAAAAATGGGTTTGGGAATGAATTAATGATTTTTTGGGATATTTCAAAATAGTTTTAGGGATACGGGATATTTGTAAAAAAAAAAAATATTGGGATATTAGGGGTAAACATTATAGGGATATGGGATATTGGGACAAAAACTTAATGGGATATGGGATATAAATACCCCCCTAAACAAGCCTCATTTGATTTGTCTTCGGAAAATGCCTGCACCAATTGAGGAATATGACAGTTGTTTTCCATTTTTGTCATTTTGAATTTACCTTGTAACTGAGAATTGTCATGTTAGAACAGAGAAAAGTCAATTTGGAATTGAGTAAGGTCAAGTTTGACATGAAATAATTTTACAACAGAATAATCCCACCAATCTTTCCTAAACAATTTAAAATTAAACAATTTCTTTATCAACGGCACTAGATGCGCACCCTACCAATTCTAACATACATTTTTTTTTATCCATGATGTAATTTTATACACTTAATAGACAAGTGTAAACCCGGATTTGTTTTTTGGCTTAATCGATTTATGACTATTGAACAGCGGTATACTACTGTTGCCTTTAGTAAACAATGTTGATGGTAAGACACACGGTCAAAATGAGCTATAACTTACCTTCATTTTTGCAATATCTAATAAAATATTTTAACTGTGAACCCCTTCATTCTTATGAAATAACTAAAATTACCATTAAACTCTCTTTCAGGAAAATTCATTACAAAAAATCTATTGCAAACACCTTTTTGTGTGTACCAACCTGAAACTTTAATTTAAAAAAAATAGCCAATATTGCTGAAAGTGGCATTTAAACAGAAAGAAGAAAGCCACAACGATATGTTGTCATTCATGTTGATACGGTACCATTATTTTTGCACTTAATCATGAAAATATTAAAGAACATTTGGTAGCAGAAAAGATTCCCAAGAATGTTTTTATTGTATTTGACTTGGTAAGGTAGTTATGTAAGAACCTTACATGATAACATTCCAAAGGTGCAACTTTTTTCATAGACAATTTGTTCAATTTTATAACATTTTCTTATAAAAAATAAACTTATCAGTCAGGAGCCTGTAATTCAGTGGTTGTCGTTTGTATCTGTATATCATATTTGTTATTAGTTCATTATTTTGTACATAAATTAGGCCATTAGTTTTCTCGTTTGAATTGTTTTACATTTGCCATTTCGGGGCCTTTTATAGCTGACTATACGGTATGGGCTTTGCTCATTGTTGAAGGCCGTACGGTGACCTATAGTTGTTAATTTCTGTGTCATTTGGTCTCTTGTGGAGAGTTGTGTAATCGCAAATCATACCACATCTTCTTATTTTTATATTATCATAGATACCAGGAATACAATTTTGCACGTCACACGCTCGTTTAGTCTTCATAAGACTCATCAGTGATGCTCCAATCAAAACATTTAAAACAAAAAAGTATCATGAACATCAAATGCTTCAATTTCTGTATGAAGTCTAGTTGCAGGTAAATCATTTGAAGAGATGTTATTTTAATTTTACACTTGCACAAAAAAGACACTACCGTACTAATATTTCTTGGAGTACATTGTTCAGATGAATTATACTAGTACTTTTACAGAATATATCTTTATTCATTTATGTTTTTGCATAACATATCTATAATATGACTACTTGTATTTAACAATAAATTTAAACATATAGTGTTACCTAAAAAATCGAATTAACGCTTGCTGCTTACAAATGTATATGTAACTTTTACATCAATTACAGTCCTCATGGTACATATAAGTATTCTATCGCGTGTCTTTACGTGGATTAACATTTAAAACTATTCCATTCTGTGCCTTCAGAATAAACCCTTTTTCAAATGTGACTGGAATCTACAACAAAAATGTGTTTTGAAAAACGATGTTTCGAATATACATTGTAGCATGTATTCTTCCGTAACACATAAAATAACAGGAACCGGCTAAAAGAGGAACCATATTCTCATTATACATCATATAACTGAGTTTTTTCAATATCATAATAATGATAAAATTCAACATTTAAAAGACTGGCATATCAATCGTGTCAGATATCAGAGTCAAAATCAAAACGAAGATGGTTTCCTTCCTGAGCACTTGAGACCACCCACAGTTTTTGGAGAGGTTCGTGTTGCTCAGTCTTTGGTTTTCTATGTTGTGTTTTGTGTACTGTTGTCTGTTTGTCTTTTTCTTTTTAGCCATGGCGTTTTCAGTTTATTTTCGACTTGTGAGTTTGTATGTCCCTTTGGTATCTTTCGCCTCTCTTTTTCAACTCTTAATATAGCATCACCTGATAAAAAAAACCCATATCACTTTTGGCAACTTAGTTGCTGCTTCTCTTTCTAAAGCCTATGAAAATTTACAAGCATAGTTTTTGGCAGATTATTTATACAATTATGCGTAATAATTCCCCATACACCAGAAGCATAAGTAAAATGGGTTTTACAAAAGAGTCATATGGTTTTGTAAATGAAAAACAACACTTGATTAAGGTCATGCGTCCTAAGATTTCATCAGGAATGCTCAAACTCAGACTTTTAAAAGCCAGTGATGTATAAGACCATAAACACATTAAGTGCTATAGGACCAAAATCGACCTATAAATTAGCCAAACTCATCTACATGTAAGGTCAGCTTTACCTGAGGGAGTATGACCCTACGTTAATCTTGTAAATGCATCATCATTTATACCACCAGTTTTACAAATTTTGCTTGATAAGAACCAAACACGCTATTCGCTGATCTAAACTAAACAATTCTTTGGCAGTCATTACATAATCCGAAAATTCATTTAAAAGTACACTAAGATATTTTTAACAAGATATGAAATCAAGAAAACATTGGTCACATGTTAACTAAACATTACTTCTTTGCATAGATTTAATTCTAAAATGAAACATTTTAGTTTTATTTTTATTTAAAGTCAATCTCCTCTAGTCACACATTTTTTTAAATAGAATTACAAAAAAAAACATTAAAAAGGCAAAACATTACAAAAAAACAAGAGATTGGGCACATTCAAACCAGTCAAAACCCGCAGTTGAACTCAGGGATTTTTCTCAATTTCTGACACCCGTCGTGTTTCTTACGTCAAATTCTATGATGCGTTAAAGTACAACAATGGTTGATCATATATGAATAACCATGACAAACATTTCATGGTCGAACTATGAGCATATGTTAATTTCAGCCATAGTTTCACTACCGAGTAAAATGTTAATCAAACCATAGTATTATGTAACTGTGAACAACATTTACTTAAACCTATCTGTGAAAGTTTTAAATTATAAGAACATCGGGCTAAAATTGGAAAAAAACTCATTCTCATGTTTGAAATAGGAATTTTGGACAGGTTTTACGGTTCTCGTAATTTCCAAATATTTCTATATTGTAGGAGTGCAGTGGCTAATTTTCCCTCATATACAAACATATGGTTGGGCGGGTAAAGGTACTTCTGCAGTCTTTTGAACAACATATTTGTTCAAAGGGAGTCATATGAATTTCGACAACAACCAAATAACCATTCTTCAACCATGAATGGTATATAGGATGTAATGTACATAACTTTCAGACACTTCAACTTACCTCCGTCTTATCACAGGTGGTGAAAGAGAAATTCTGAAGCATATGCACCAAAGCCATTTTTGCCTCAAGTAACGCCAACCTCATACCAATGCATATTCTTGGACCGATGCCAAAAGGAATAAAACTATATTCTGGTCGTTTGGCGATATTTTCATCAGTAAATCTGTTATGAATAAATATGTCTTTATATGATTGAAACGTACATTTTAATAATGCGTACAAAACAGAGTTCAGCTGGACAAAGCACATTTAATTCTCACTTAAAATGAAAATTTATTTTAAACAATAACTTTACCAATACAGTTACCGAATACATTTATCGAATGCATTTATTACACTGGAGATTCAAAACAGTGCCAAGAACTATGCACCAATGCCTTATGATTTTCAAGAGCAGAATGGTCAATATAGGCTCAAAAGAAAACAAATTGTTTTGCTTCACCAATCCGTTCAAATACTTGCAATAAAAGTTTACCTTTTGAAACGTAAATTTCGAATTTAGAAGTCATTTTTATTTTTTCTCTGTTAAATTTTATTGACGGTTTCATTTAAATCAACTTGATTATCTAGTAAGATAGAAAGACTTGTATTGTAACGATTTTAAAAGACTAAGTGTTGTGCTGCGACATCCAAAAAGCATTATAACATGTATATCAACCGTTTGGTTTACTACACGTCTATGGATAATTATGCTTCTGTACGTATACTTCATAGGGGGAAGCATATATATTGTCTACAACTATAAATATTATGCAACACAAAATACTCGTAATATTGCATTAAAACCATTAACACCAAATATATAGTTTGTCTCGACAAATAGACTATGATAATGTAAATTCACTTTTATTTTACCTTTCAGGATCAAACTTTTCTGGATCTGGCCAGTAATCCGGATTTCTGTGCAAGGCAAATGAGGGTACACTAATGCCTGTTCCTTTCGGGATAAACGTGTCTTTAATCTTGATATCTCTCTGACATTCCCTGTTAAATCTACAAATCGATTGTCTAATCAGTTATTTGTACATTTTTACTTTATACGGACTGAATATACAGGACGTGCAGGATTATGAAAGAAAGCAAGTGAAGTATACAAATCACATGGTTTTTCTGTCACCATCAGAAATTTATTGTGTGATACAAATTGATTGGGTCTCAACCCACGGGAGGTGTTGTTGCAGTGCTATATCATAAGACCACATGATAATTGCCTGATGTAAAAATGTACCAATTATCTGAAATTTCCTAACGTGAAATTTTGCCTAATGTGTATTTGGTTTCTGCTGAGGCATGCATAGCAGGAGAAGCTTGTTTCTACTATAAAGTAAAATCACAAAAGTACCGAACTCCAAGGAAGATTCAAAACGGAAAGTCCCTAATCAAATGGCAAAATCAAAAGCTCAAACACATCAAACGAATGGATAACAACTGTCATATTCCTATTCAAAATGGATTTCCGACTTTAGAACATCCGTTTACTATTGTAAATTCTTTTCAGCGGAATAAGATGGGACTTATTTCATGTATTTGAAACAAATATAGTTTTACAATATAAATTTGCAAAACATTGTACAAATTAAAATGCGAAAACTTCCATATCAGTTGACATGTATCACTAATTATATGTTTGTTGAGTTTTTTTTAGATTAAATAAACAACGAAGTAATTAATAGACGATCGGTTATTGACAACTTCAGTATACCAGTTGATGGTGGCCCTATACTGGGATTGACAGAGAAAAAATATCCTGACAATTTAAAAAATCTTTTTCAGTATCAAAATTGTTATAGTTGACAGTAACAGTAGCTTTATTGTTGAAGAAAAATGTTGATCTCTAAATTTCATTTGATTTATACCCTTGATGAATCGTTGATTCACTATACCTTTATTACTTACCTAGTTGCAGCTCCATAAAGACGCAAAACTTCATTTACAAATCTCTCCAAATACTGTAACTTTGATATATCTTCATATTGGGGTTTTTCCTATGTTTTAAGTATAGTTTTTTTATTGTAATCATATTGTTTTTGGCAAGATTAAAACTGAATACACGCTTGAATAAACTCAATATGTACGTTGATATCAATTTAACCTACATGTAATTCTCAACGTTGATTGTTGTGAATGGTTAGATATTTAGATTTTCAAAAATTTGGATCTGAACAAGCCCGCAGAGAACAAATTAGTTTTGTGCTCGTGGTGCATTCAATTAACTTTGTTTTCATGTAATTTTATACGAGTTCTTACCAAATCATCAAATTTTTTTTCACGTTATGTTTGTAAATAGAATTACAAGAAAAGGTTATTTATTTTTCAAAATACCTATTGATTGCATTGCCTTTCAAAACTTTATACCGCAGTAACTGTATTAGACACATTAATGAAGAAATAAATTTAAATTGTTATGTTAACTATGGCCTAGTATTTATTGTGCTTGACTGCTATATTTTCATTTGTTTTATTGTGTACAAACATTGATTCGGACAATGATTACCGACTACCGAGTAGGTAAATACTTGCCCCACAAAGGACGGTATCGATCTCCTCAATAAGCTTCTTCTGCACATCTGAGTTAGTGGCCAATGCATAACAAGCAAATGATAGTGTATTGGCTGTTGTGTCATATCCTGCTAGGAAGAACGTCATGGCATTTGATTTTAACTCCATTTCATTTAAACCTGTATAAATGAGTGTTCAATGATTATTCGAATTTTAATATGTATATATATATATAAATTAAGCTAAAAATATAATTTGTAAATAATTTGATCTCCATTAAAACATTTAAAAATAAGTCTGTGCTCCCCGACAAGTTATCGTACGGTTCACAACAATGCAATGATCGAACTATGTTAAAGTTTTTAAATTTGGTCCTGAAAATGAGTCATGTGTAACACATCAATATGTTAATAATCAAACATTATAATAGTGATAAACAAAAAATAAATACATAACAATGGATGATATTCATATGATGAAGACATACTCTTTCAATCAGTTTAATTGAAGTCTGGAGCTGGCATGTCAGTTAACTGCTAGTAGTCTGTTGTTATTTATGTATTATTGTCATTTTGTTTATTTTCTTTGGTTACATCTTCTGACATCAGACTCGGACTTCTCTTGAACTGAATTTTGATGTGCGTATTGTTATGCGTTTACTTTTCTACATTGGCTAGAGGTATAGGGGGAGGGTTGAGATCTCATAAACATGTTTAACCCCGCCGCATTTTTTGCGCCTGTCCCAAGTCAGGAGCCTCTAGCCTTTGTTAGTCTTGTATTATTTTTAATTTTAGTTTCTTGTGTACAATTTGGAGTTTAGTATGGCGTTCATTATCACTGAACTAGTATATATATTTGTTTAGGGGCCAGCTGAAGGACGCCTCCGGGTGCGGGAATTTCTCGCTGCATTGAAGACCTGTTGGTGACCTTCTGCTGTTGTCTGTTCTATGGTCGGGTTGTTGTCTCTTTGACACATTCCCCATTTCCATTCTCAATTTTATTACACTATCAAACAAATTAAGTGCCATATAGTGTACTTAAATTTTTAAGAAAATTCCTTTAAACATCAAGGGCAGATAACTATATTGAACTTGATAGGACAATTAGTGTTTTCTGAATTTCTCAAGAAATTAAGGCCCGTGAATCCTATTTTTATTTGATATTTCAGATATATTTATAAAAAGAAATTCTCTCATTGAATTTTAACAGATTCTATCGATTTATGACTTCTCAATAAAGAAAAAAAAGTTTCCCCTTTATAATCCATATAAAGTAAATGTGATTTCGTTAATTTCAGTGTATTTTAACGAAAAAACTAGGTCCGTGACCCCAAGTTTTTATATTGAAATTTGAAAATACATTGACCCAGAAGTCTTTCACAGAAGTTAAAGTAAAATATATCGTCGAACATTTAGACACCCCAGTAATCTTAAGAATAAAAACTTAGTACTAATAGTGATTTTGTTTTCAATTCACGTCGATTGCTATCACCACTTCATTTATAACAACTATTGGATAATAGTAGTAACAGAATCATTAGTTCTTTTAGATGTTTCTATCTAAACCCATACAGTCGATACAACATGTTGTGAAGTACAAGTCCTTTGGGTATCATTCGTCTAGCAGTCAAGAGTCTGGGCCAGTCGTGAATTATATAATGCAATGTGATAAAAGAACCGTAACTCTTCAGACGCATGAAATTTATAAATTGTAATTTAATTTTTTTTGACCGGCCGGGTCAAACCAAAGACTTTTAAAATGGTATTTGCTGCTTCTCCGCTAATCACGGGGCATTAAGGAGTAAGAGCAAAGGCTGGTCGGCTCGGAGTCAGAATAATGTGTCCGGGTAAGGTGACATGTCTTCCTGTGGACTGTTACCTTGTGAACTAGCACGTTAAAAATCCGGATCAGCGTGTTGGTCTAGTGCAAAGCAAGGTAAATAATCATATTACATTAACATGTTCTCGTCCTAAATATGCATATTGATTTGCCGCTGGACGTTAAGCAGCCAGCCATTATCATCATCATCACAATGCCATCAGAAACAACGTTTTAATAAGAAATTAGCACTCATACCACATCATCTTATTTATATATAATAGTCAGTTCGAGTTGTTAAATGTAGAATGCTATAATATTGATGATATAGAGACAAATAAATTCAAACTAAATTAAACTTAAAATCGTTTAACCTTTTTTTTATCCTTTTCGGGTGTGCCTTGTTTTCGTTCCGGTGTTTGATTAAAGTCTAACGTTTGATTTTGTCAGTTTTTAAGGATTTATTTTGGAGGTCGATACTTTTATTATACTTTTTTACTTCTACGTGTTATGAATTTCCTCGATTTACTCTATAATTGTTTTCTTACATGGCCTTTTTGCGATCCATCCCTTTTAGTCAGTACAAAGAAAAATGTTGTTACAAGTATATATATACGTCTCAAAATATTAAGGCAAAGTATTCGTAATTTGACGGTATTTATGATTTTTGTAATATTTTATAATTATTTACAGGTCATGAAATGTTACCAATCATTTGCTACGAGTAACATAATGGCGGCAACGAACGGAAAAAAGTAAAATCACAAAAATACCGAACTCCGAGGAAAATTCAAAACGGAAAGTCGCTAATCAAATGGCAAAATCAAAAGCACAAACACATCAAACGAATGGACAACAACTGTCATATTCCTGACTTGGTACAGGCATTTTCTTATGTAGAAAATGGTGGAATAGAAACTGCTCATTCTTCAAAGGGTACATGCATTCACCCCAGTTTTTGTTGACTTAGTGTTCCGCAATCATTAGTTTTCTGTGAAGCATTTTGTGTATTTGTTGCCAATGATGATGTCGGTTTTGATTGGACTTGTTATTTTGTCTTTCATCAGTTGTTTTACAAGGCTAATTATACTATTTCTATAGGCAAGCTATATAAAATAAATGTAGTTTACTCCCAGTTTTTATTAAAATTTGCCATGATTGATTTATCCCTTACCTCTATTTTTAGAACTCTGCATGTCACCTGATGAATAATTCCCTTGATGATCATCCTTGTGTCTAGCATTTATCATTAATTGTAGGAAATCTTGGTATTGCTATAGAATATATAATAATTTGGTATAAATAATAATATAAACGTACGATTCTGATGTTTTCCCGCTCTACACGTGTACTTGGTCATTTAACCAAAACATTTAAAGCAACCAAAAAAATAGGGGGAGAAATAGAATAGCCAAATTATCTTATCATAGGAGAGGAAGATTGGACTTCTTTAATATTTTTGTGTGTAAAACAAAGTCTATCACCTTACTGCAATTGACTAACTTTGTATTTGTCACAGTCTGTTTGATAACAAATATAAACTTATAATCAAATATTAGCTTTGAACACTACAATCACTTTGATCAAAAATACTTTAACAGTCTTAATTGGTATTAATTATGTAGTCCATCGAGAACTTAAGTTATGATTCATTAAATGTGTCCTTACAAATGCCATTTTGTTTTGATCGTTTTGATTTGCAGTATAAATCTCTCACTAATCTGGCTCTATATGCACCAATTCTAAATCGCACTATACCCGAAAAATTCCATTATTTGAGATTTAACAAGAGGTAATGCAAGCAAAGCTCACAAAATGATATCGCCGATCCTTGCAGTCTATGATTTGCTAATTGGAATAACAATTATTTTCGTAAAAAACACAACGAGTGGTCTACAATAGCATTATATGGTTTAGATTGTGAGAAAAATTCACTAAACTGTAATCAGGGGTTAAGGAGGAGTTGCGGATACAAAATGGGTACCTTCAAAACAAAGCAACGGTAAAGTTCATATTTTGGTAAGGGAAACACCAAAAATCTTATCAAAACATAAAAGGAGGTACACTCTGGCATTATATGGTAAAGATTCTTAAAAATTTCATCAAGTTATGAATAGGGGTTTAGGAGATGAGCATATAAATGTGCACTTATAGTACCATTGATTTGGTAAAGAAAGCACAAAAATGGTTCTGATAAATAAAAAAGTGCAGAATAGCATCAAATGGTTAATATTGTGACAAAGTTTCAATGATATGTAAAAAGGGTTTAAGGAGGAGTTGTGGATACAAAACAATTGTTCCACGGACGTTACAGATACTAGTGTCTAGCCTGAAAATGTTCCCAGCACATCCTACGTGAGGGATCCGTGGTTATCTTCTATGTTAGAATCGCGTTATTGTCTAAAGTAGGCGTTCAGATAATCCTGCATAAGATCGTGCATGTTCACACTATACAGACTTAATTTCCAATGGAGTGGTCCTTACACATAAACTGCTTCAACAGAGTTATGAGGAAGAACGACTGAAATCGACACTAAATAAGTTTTACAGTAACCATCACGAATTGGTTGACCGATACGATATTTCGATGTCTCAATTCACTAGACAGGTTTTCGCGGTCTCAAATCTTTAGATACCAGTGTAGTCGCCTGATCTGTATTTTTACTAATTGTGTCTTATTCTCGATTGTGACATTTTGACTTAGTGTGAACTTGCATGGCGGTTGATGCATGCATAACATGAGACTCTTATCATGTCGATGCACCGCGTATTGCTCCTTTTGAAGTCCATGCGATTCACATCGGTAAACTACTGTTGCCTGAAATTAGATATTTGCAATAGATATTTGCAATGTCGGATAGTATTATACGTAATCCCTTGACAGTCCGGTCCATGTTATGAAAGAATAAGAAAGGGAATAAAAACTTATCAAAATATAAGCTGATATGGAATTTTTTTTTTTGTGTCCAAGTAAACCTTTCAAAGAAATTCGGAAGACATCAAGGAGATGTCAGAATCTATACATTAGATCGTATTGAGATTAAATATGAATACAGACCACAACTATTCCAATACAATATCAGACACTCTATAGATATCAGGACAGCATTCCTGTTTCATATGTTGCATCCGCCTGATGTTTACTTTGTTAAATCAAGGAACGAATGAAAAACGGATCGCAATATTAATTAAGTTAACATTTCAACAGCAAAAACGATTTAGTGAAATATGTAATCTTAATCTTTTTAATGCAATTTTACCTGCCCTACTGTAAGCAATGAAATGAGCTCAATCCCGTAATTTTCTTAAAATATTTTCAGTGACAATTGCACGGGCATTGTGTCATAACTAGATATCATTGAAATGGGAGCCATCTCTGTGGGCCCCGCTGTAAATAATGTGTGGTAAAAAATTGTATCTTTATCATTGGACATGGGGTTGTCAACTGAAACCAAAGTTTTTGACCTTGACCTTTGACCTAGGAAGTTGTACATACATTATGACACACCCTCTGGTGTTGTTTAATATACATATCAAGTATAAACTTTGAAATCATAACGGTTCTCAAGATATAGAGCGGACACGATCTTTACCATAGGACATGGGGTTGTCAACTAAAACCAAAGTTTTTGACCTTGACCTTTGACCTAGGAAGTTGTACATACATTATGACACACCCTCTGGTGTTGGTTAATATACATATCAAGTATAAACTTTGAAATCATAACGGTTCTCAAGATATAGAGCGAACACGATCTTTACCATAGAACATGGGGTTGTCAACTAAAACCAAAGTTTTTGACCTTGACCTTTGACCTAGGAAGTTGTACATACATTATGACACACCCTCTGGTTTGTTTAATATACATATCAAGTATAAACTTTGAAATCATAACGGTTCTCAAGATATAGAGCGAACACGATCTTTACCATAGGACATGGGGTTGTCAATTTAAACCAAAGTTTTTGACCTTGACCTTTGACCTAGGAAGTTGTACATACATTATGACGCACCCTCTGGTGTTGCTTAATATACATATCAAGTATAAACTTTGAAATCATAACGGTTCTCAAGATATAGAGCGGACACGATCTTTACCATAGGACATGGGGTTGTCAATTAAAACCAAAGTTTTTGACCTTGACCTTTGACCTAGGAAATTGTACATACATTATGACACACCCTCTGGTGTTGTTTAATAAACATATCAAGTATAAACTTTGAAATCATAACGGTTCTCAAGATATAGAGCGGACACGATCTTTTCCATAGGACATGGGGTTGTCAACTAAAACCAAAGTTTTTGACCTTGACCTTTGACCTAGGAAGTTGTACATACATTATGACACACCCTCTGGTGTTGTTTAATATACATATCAAGTATAAACTTTGAAATCATAACGGTTCTCTAGATATAGAGCGGACACAATTTGTTATGGACGGACGGACAGACGGACAGACGGACGGACGGACGGACAGAATGATCACTATAGGGCGTCCGCCATTCGGCGGGGCCCTAATTAAAGAAGTCATGGAGGGAATGACCATATCGAGTACTTTACCGGGGGGGGGATGTCGAATTCATGAACAAATGCCCAAAACTGTATGTATCATTGTAAATTCAGAAATTATTGCTTGCATTTATTATTACGATTTCGAAATGAGGGACCAACATGTGAGAATAATTATTGCGATTACAGGAAAAGCTGCATACAAATATATGTCTCAGATTCGAAAATGCAGGTTCTTACTATTGCGATATTTACACAGTCACATTATTTGCAATAACAAAAACCTCAAAATAATTTCTGAATTTACAGTAACTTGAAAGACCTTTTCAACATAATTATGTTGAAAATGACAAAGGCAAAGTTATACCATTCGAACATCAATTGCACATCGCTGATGTAAGAAGGAATGTACATTTGCATCGGGAATTGCCTAAAGTGTTAGTAAAGGAGATTGGAGTGCACATGAATAAGACAGCAACCAAAAGACTTCACAAACTAAAACATATCGAATGACTCGTAAGAAATTATTTACTTTCTTAAACAATGTTGACTAATTCCAAACACTAAAACTTCTTGAAACAAGATTTCGAGATGGATTTGATAAAGAGCTCTTTACAAAGTTGATTTCCATAGGCAAAATACTTTTTAGTGGAATAAATGAGGACTGTTGCTCATAGTCAAAAGCTTAGAAAGCTAAAATATATATTACGTGTGAAATCCCACAACCAAAATAGGGCCTAAGCGGTACAACCAATAGTATCTAAGATAAACGCTTGCCTGTTAAGGTATAAGGAACTAAATTAATATATATTATGTTTAAAGGAACGAAATATATTTTGAGTTATTGTATTCAGATTATTTTCCAATACCTCCTTTCCTTCCTTTCGAAGATCGATAGAAGACCGTAGCGCTGTGTCGAAAAATTCAAGGACATCTTTGCCAACTCTGTTCTCTTGGAGCAAGATGGCACCGATTGCAATTTTTAGAAATGGAAACATCCACAAACTAAAACATATTGATTGTCTCGTAGGAAATTATTTTCTTTCTAAAAAAATGTTGACTAATTACAAACACTAAAACTTCTTAAAAAGGATTTAGAGATTGATATGGTAAAGAGCTCTTTAAAAAGTTCTGATTTCCTTGGGAACAAAACCTATTCCTGGAATAAATTTAGACTGTTGCTCAAGGCCAAAAACTTGGAAAAAAATATATGATATGTGTGAAATCCCACAACCAAAATAGGGCTAAGTGGAACAACCAATATTATCTAAGATAAATTTTGCCTTATGGGGTCTAAAGAACTAACTCAAAATATATTATTTTTAAAGGAACGAAATATATTTTGAGTTATTGCATTCACATTATTTTCAAATACCTCTTTTCCTTCCTTTCGAAGATCGATAGCAGACCTTAGCGCCGTGTCGAAGAATTCCATGACATCTTTGCCAACTCTGTTACCTTTGCGCAAGATAGTTCCAATTACATTTTTTAGAAATGGAAATATCACTGAAATAGAAACATTTTCAATATATATATTTAATATTTAGTGATTCTCTTAATTCGTTGTTGTTGTACAGGTAACAAAGTGTGGTATGTTGAATTGAGTGGCTGAATTTGCGTGCATGTGACTTTGTACATGTATGAGCTGACTTCAGAAAATATCAACCATTATAATAATATGATTAAATTATTAAATAATAATAAAAAGAGTATTTAGAGAAACGATTCTTTCATAAACTTTCCTATGCCAACAAAGGTCTCGATGCCATCAACTTGAGCAATATCCTTCATCATAAATCAGTTCACTCGAAAATACCTCCCTATTTTAAAGATCAGTCTGTACCTATCATTTCTTATACCTATACCAAACCAATTGTAAATTAAATTTTCATTTACAAACACGTGTTGCAGGATCTCAATATTGACGACTTCAATTCTAAACCTCCTGATTGCACCTGTGCTAGTTCCCTATTCATATATAATCCGGCTGGCCATGTTATTACCGGTGACCTAAACATTGTCAATAACACATCTCTGCGAAATGTGTTATCCAAAGGCCCGAAATATCGTGAGCCTAAATCCATCAATTGGAAACACAACTTCAAAATACTGATGGATTCAGTCGAGGATTATGCCAGGCAATGGGTTAAACGCGAGAAAGAAGACGTAGATACTCTTTCCGAATGGATTAAGGCTGTGAGGTCGTTGATGCAAATCAGAATTAAGAAACTGAAAGTGTCTATTAATACCCATGCTACATCAATTTTTAAAGACCAAAATGTTGCAAAACACTTGTCCTACCTCCATGACAAATATGTTGTTGTCCCCGCAGATAAAGCCCCAATCAACATCGTTTTTGTGTGTAAATCACATTACATAAACTGCTTGATAAATGAATTAGGTATTGACAATTCACTTGAAAACTCAACATTTACCCCAACGACACTTACTAAAGAGAAAATCATGGATAATCATAAGTCTGTTCTATATTCCTTTGGAATTTCAACCAAAGATGAAGAACTGGATCTTCAATCACTGTATTGGATACCTAATCTACATAAGTGTCCTTACAAACAACGGTATATTGCTGGGTCTTCCAAGTGCTCCACGAAACCTCGTTCTAAATTATTAACATCAATTTTACAAAAATGTATCAGCAATCAAAGCCTGGCTTCAAAGTTATTGTGAAACTACCTATTCTAGAGGTGGCGTGAATAAGATGTGGATACTAAAAAAATTCCAAAGATCTTTTAGAGTACATACAATCTAAGACTCTTTCATCTTGCAATAGTATTAAAACATTTGACTTTCTACACTTTAACACAAGTATTCCCCATTCCAAACTAAAAGACAAATTGAAAGAGTTGGTCCTGCTTTGTTTCATAAAAAAAAATGGCCAACGTAGATACAAGTATCTTGTATTAGGGAGGGATAAATCCTACTTTGTAAAAACTCACTCTGATTCAAACAAAAAATTCTCTGAAACTGACATTATCAAGATGCTTGATTTCTTGATTGACAACATATTTGTTACGTTTGGAGGACGTGTTTTTCACCAAACAATCGGCATTCCCATGGAACAAACGGTGGCCCTCTTCTTGCCGACTTGTTCATTTATTATGAGGCTGACTTCATACAGGAACTTCTTAGGAAGAAAGAAAAGAAGTTAGCAGTATCCTTTAACTTTACTTTCCGTTATATAGATGATGTTCTCTCACTAAATAATTCAAAATTTGGTGACTATGTTGAACGCATCTATCCAATCGAACTTGAGATAAAGGGTACAACAGATACAGTTAAGTCTGTCTTATATCTTGACTTACATCTAGAGATTGACAATGAGGGTCGGTTGAAAACAAAACTTTACGACAAAAGAGATGATTTCAGTTTTCCAATTATGAACTTTCCATTTCTATGTAGCAACATTCCAGCAGCGCCTACATACGGAGTATATATCTCCCAGTTGATACGATATTCCAGGGCTTTTATTTCCTATCATGATTTTCTTGATAGAGGGTTCCTGCTAACATGGAAGCTATTAGACCAAGAGTTCCAAGTGGTGACGTTAAAATCATCCCTTCGTAAGTTTTACGGACGCCATCACGAGTTGGTTGACCGTTATGGAATATCCGTTTCACAGATGATAGCCGATATGTTCCTAATGTCGTAACTACAATCCCGTCCCCTTTTCCCGAATGTGACCTACCGAATTAGACTTATTACCGGGTTTGTACTAACATGAGCAACACAACGGGTGCCACATGTGGAGCAAGATCTGCTTACCCTTCCGGAGCACCTGAGATCACCCTCAGTCTTTGGTGGGTTTCGTGTTGCTCAGTCTTTAGTTTTCTTTGTTGAATTTTGTGTTCTATTGTTTGTCTGTTGGTCTTTTTCTTTTTTAGCTATGGCATTGTCAGTTTATTTTCGACTTATGATTTTGAATGTCCCTCTGGTATCTTTCGCCTCTCTCTTACTTAATATTTTCTTTCCATGGTCCTGATGCGGATTCAAATCCGGGCATTTTTATTAAAACGAATACGAGGCTAGCAACTTGGCTCATCTCCACTTCGTATTAGAAGGTTTTATCTATGATTCCAGGCTAATCGAAAACCGTATAGTAAACTTCGCGTTTCTTCCTCGCGTATGTCTGTTTAAATGTCAAGTCATAACAGCGAGGATTTCATAAATATCAAAAATTCGAACGCAAGAGATAATTACAAAACTCACTCAACAGAGAATCGGAAAAACTACTTAGACCTTTTGTACTTAATTATCTGCAACTTGTAAGACGTGTTACTATTGTCAGATACATACAAAACAGTACCATTTACTTCCGACATTCAAACGAATAATTTTCAATTTAAGACGTTCAACGTTAATTCTTCATTTCTTCCCCAGACTGCCAAAGATGTTTTCTCAATTTAAATGATTAATGATTGTTGGTTGCTTAACATCCAGTTGCAAATATTTCATACATGTTCAGGACGAGGACAAATTAACAATTAACACAATAGGTAGATCCTGAAATCGGGCCGCCCGGGATGAAGGTCGGGAAATTTGAAACTGCCACTGGAAAATGAGGATATATAAGAAAGAGACACAACGTTAACCTTGCAACAGGTCCCTACAAACCCCTCAAAGAGTTTTTGCAAGGTTTCTTAACGTGCAGAGAGCGTGGCACTCTCTCTACACGAGGCAATGGAGTGTACGTCTCCATTCTGACAGGACGTGTCTGCGTCTGGTTGGGGGGTTAGTCAATTTAAATGAAAATGTCATTTTTTTAAATTCATTGATAAAACCCTTTAAGATAACAACTACAAATAAAAAATGACTATTATCAGTAGCACTCATCACTGCAACATGGTTTACATCATTAAACTTTAATTGATATAAGATAAGAATATGTGATTTTAGCAAGGTTCTTTGAGGGACAAGTGACGTAATAGTACATATTCTTAATTGTATAGTTTAGTATGCCGCTTTTACACAAACAAATCATCAATAAAAGGTAGATGATACTAAGGGGACAATCAAGAATCAAAAGTCGAAGAAAAAAACGACCACCACCAAAAATCAGGTTGATCTCAGGTATTTCGAGATGATGGTAAGCAGAATAGAATCTCCTCATTCTCACTTTAAAATCAGATGTGTAATCTATAAGCAGACCAGTATAGAAATGTATTGAATTTTTAACTAAAAAAATAGGAATTGGCAACATTAATTTGCATATGGATAGAAATGGACTTTATTAATACACAATGTAACGTTTTTTGATAGATAATAACGACGCTTAAAATGACTTGTTGGCCTTTTATAGCCGACTATACGGTATGGGTTTTTCTCATTGTTGAAGGTCGTACGGTTGCCTATAATTGCTTACATCCACATCATTTGAACTCCGATGGATAGTTGTCTCATTGGCAATCAAACCACATCTCCTTATCTTTATAGTGTTATCCACTGCTGATTTGAATGGCAAATACAATCTCTGTATTTGATATATATAAGGGTCACCTAATTACGAGAACAACAAATGATGAATAGTACAGTCGTAAATAAATAAATTACTGATAAAAACAGCAAATGATGACGCAAGTTGTCCAATGGCAGCTTTTTTTCCGTAGTAAACAAATCGATTATTGGGTTCTCTTTGTGAATTAACCTCAATACCAAAAGCTGTACTAGATATGACATCCATAGTGAATGCTCCACACAATCTAAAATAAAAATCATAATATGAAATGCACCTAATTTTCAATAAAGCTGTTTCATTTACTAGTACTCCTTTAAACTTAAGTGAAAGAATAGGAAATTATGAATTATTGTTTGAGCTAAAAACATGCATAGTGTTAAAAATTAGTTGATTGGTCGTGAATGAAACTATTATACTTGCGAAATAGCATTATATCGATTTGATCGCAAGCAATTTCACTCGAAAAAACCTGGACTACACTCGAAAAATCTGCACAGATTCACTCGAGAGAAAAAAAAACACGATCTAAACCTGACACTATACCTAACGTGGTAATTGTGTTAATCAGAGCCATTAGTTACATGTATCAATTTATAAATCAATTAAATGTCAAGCATACTAAGTAAAGACACAGATAACTCCAAATACAATCATTTTCTTTTACTTTTACTTATTAATTGACAATGCATTGTCGTTGTGTTTGGAGGTAATAGACGTTTGATAACATTTTGTCAGTTTTGAACTTACTTTTAAATCTTTTACTGTAACAGTTCGTGCGATCTTGATTCTGTTATTGTGTTGAAATTTCCTATATATTTAAAAAAAAAATGATATTTTCGTGTTTTGCCTCACCAGGAGTTGAAACTGGCGAGGAGTTGAAAAATCTAAAATGAGGGATGCACAATTACATGACACTTACTCTTTCATATCAACTGGATCCTTGTCGCCCCGCTGTGAGCGAATGTTTTCTACCAAAGCTTGACAACATTTGTCGATTTTCTGTACCATCTACAACATAGGAAAAGACGGATAATCATCAGTTATATAACGCCTTTTTATAATTATCAGTCACCGTTGTACATATATCTAAGCTTTTGTTTCACCCGGCGTCAGTCTTTTGTCCTTTGTCGGCCTTAAAGAGTCTTTTACAAGCTCTGTTACTGTGATGCGTATTGATTTCAAACACTTGACCACATTGTCTCATTCTATATTAATTTATTTCTGGTTGCTTAATGTCTAGTGGTCAATTTTGTATTATCAGGACGAGAACATTTAAGTAACGGGTAAAAAATAAGAAGGTTGCACATTGTGGTTCTACCCGGATAGAGGAAAGGAAAATTTACTATGCCATGTTAAAAAATCTTGATATTGACCCTGGGCAGAAATAATATTGTCTATCTTTCTTTTCCTTGTTTTTATTGCACCTCAAAGTTTGGTATGCTCTTACTTTTTTTATTCTGGCCCAAATTCGAAACTCGTGGATCGTGGATCTAAAAGGGTATATTTGTGACATGTATATTTTTTGTTAAGGCCCAGATCGACTAAATGGTTAAAAAGCGCACAGGTATTTCACGCCTTCTTACAACAAATTACTAAGGAATTCCATCATGTAGCAGGTATACATAAAGAAATGCAAGATAACGGATCAATGATACAAAAATCCGACAACACTTCCATTAGAAAAGACATTTTCCCTTTTTTCCTCGCAGAAGAAATTGCAGCTTAAACTGTAAAGTTTCCACTTTGCTTGGTACCAACGGAACCTTTGTTTTACTAAAGTTTTCATCACAAGTTATTTATGTAATTGAAGCTGGAATTAAACTTTTTTATACTGATGCTAAATTATTGTTTATGGCTTTGATTAATTGGGATATAACTTACAAGTTTTAATTTTCCCACTGTAAATGTCGGTGAGAGGGTACTTCTGAGAAACTTCCAATGTGTTCCCTGGGCCAAAGCTACACCAGCTAACATTCGTTCCGTCGGCTTTACTGGTATCTGCAATAATTCTCCGGTAATATAATACTGAATTGTATGCAGTTGGACTAATTGACATAAATCGTATTTGAAAATGAAAATATTGCATTTGTCTGTGATCTTGAAATCTTTTGAAAATTTGGTATTATCAATTCACATTTCTTAAACTAAAATATATGATATATATATCATTAAACAAATTTGAATAATGTTTCGTTTCATCTGACATAGATAAATTGATGTTTGTTTTCACTTACAAATCTGTTTGGAAAGTTAGAGAATTCCTTAACAAATATCACTTTCAACATTTCTGGATCAGCAACTAACAGACTTGGTATATGACCCTGATAAACCCTGAAACGAATACACGAAATATGTCATTCCCTTTTCAGCTTTTCTCTAGAGTTTTAACCTCTATATATTCTATTCATAACATTGGCTAAGAGAAAAACTGGAGCATTAAATTTGCGCGAAACATTACGCCTGTTTGCCTTAATCTGCAGTAACTACTGTAACAGGCAAAGTGCTTTATGATATATTTCTAAAGTGATCGATGTTACTGGTCTGATATTTTGCTTAACCATGTCATACATGCAATTCTTGCTGTAAGCATACGTACAAGCTTTAAAAACAGAGAAGATAGAGGAGACTAGCCGAACATGAATTTGTTTTATCCTGCAATTTAACCTTGATGGTTTAATGTGTAGTTATCTAAGTCCCAACCGTTGTCTTTGATTTTAAGTATATAAATATACTCTGTTGGGTAGTTGTCTCATTAGCATGGCTTAAACTAAACTGTGACGTTTTCAATAATAGACATTTGCGGAAACTAGGTCTACTAGATTACACTTAGGCTTACGATTACAGTTGACGAAAAACAAGGGGTCCTCTCAAAATAAAAAAAATAAACCCAATTGAGATACTTAGTAAAATGAAATGATATTTTTTTTATCATGTAAATAAGTCTTTTTGACGACACATAAATGTTTTTAATTCTCCGAATGCGTGTTCAACCTCTACTCCATAGTGTGTAATATGCTATTTAATTTTCTACACTTCCTCTGCATATTCTGGGGTTTGTCTCAACACAGCGAGAAAATCCCGCACCCAGAGGCGGGCTTCAGCTGGCCCCTAAATAAAAATGTGTACTAGTTCAGTAAAAATGGACGTCATACTAAACTCCAAAACATATAAATGAACTAAAATTAAAAAAACATACAAGACTAACAAAGGCCAGAGGCTTCTGACTTGGGACAGGCGCAAAAATGCGGCGGGGTTAAACATGTTTTGTGAGATTTCAACCCTCTGTTCGGATATGTTTTGTCGCCTAGCAAAAACAACTCAGTCGGGAAAGGTAATTCTTGTACTATATTTCAACCTAATTGCTTATGCCAAAGAAATCCGCACTCAACATAACATATCCTGTCTTCGTTCAATATTACAACTTGAGTGTGAATGCAGTGACAATGTCTGTGTCTTAGGAAATACTGTTCTTGTAGTTCCGTTATCGGCCACACACTTTCTGTCGATAGCACTTCTGCAAACGGAATTTGTGGTCACCCACCTTGTAAGTTCTGCGAATCATCCAAAGAAGGCAAATAGATAAGACAGTTATATGTTTCTTGAAATAGGTATACATGTATGTGTTTCGTCTTTAGTAGTCGAAACACTAAGGTCAACTATTTCAGAAATCATATGATAAGACGGGTACGATTGTAACCATAACATAAAGGAAGAATTCTGTTTCCCGGGGAAAGCGTATGATCCCGACCGGTTCTCTGTCTGAAGAGACCATTAACATCGGCTACAATTTAAAGTAACGTTTCAGGAGTTTCACCGGTAAAGGGAAAATCGTTTCTCTCATTCCTAAAGTATACATCATTGCCTATAATATTTCCCTGATTGTATAAAGATTAGTTTGTCGGTAGTCAAACTAGGATTACCAGGGTTATAATCTGAATCAGATGACGAACGAAATGTGTACCTTATATCTGGTGGAGTCTGCATCATGGTAGGTAATGCTGCCATGGATAATCTGTGTTCCTCATCCAAAGCAGGGAAAAATAGAATAAATGCACGAAATACGCTTGTCATTTATTGATTTTTCCGTATTAATAGTTCCACTCGCTTTACAAAAACTCCACAAAGAAACATAGAGTTCATTATGACGATAACAAAAATCAACTGATTTTGACGAATCATGGTACATGTCTTCCAATTATAACGGTAAAGTTTAAATAATTGAGACCTCTGACAAATAAGGATAATTTGATAAACCACAATATAAATTGAATCAAGTTGTCGCTAATGATAGTTGAAAATTAACATTTGGTGCCTGACGGTAAAAGGCATTTCAACCATCTTTAAAGATTTCTAGGATCACTTATTATAACACGGGCCAGTATATGTAAAGACGAATGCATATCTGTTTTATAATTTCATTGCATAGAAAGAGTCCGAGTTGTCTATAAAAGTGGTCCGAGTTCTCTTTAAATTGGCCTGAGTTGTCTTTGTCTTACACTTTGAAACGACCCAAGATTTAAATGCTACCTGTAAGTGTAATTGTAATCCTCATCGTAGGTGTATGACAGTTTCCGCAAATATTTAATAAGCAGAATAATGGGGAACTTTTTTAGTATACAATGAGAATGGTCGTTACTATATAATGGACTTCTGTTACTATACAAAATGAAATGTAGCAAAAAAATATATATGTATACCTGTTATGTACACAGGCAAAATTTGCTCACGTGAATTTCACATGAATCTCAAATGAAATTCACGTGAACATTTTCACGTGAGATTCACCTCAAACGAGCTTAAATTTTCATGTGAATTTCACGTGGAATCTCACGTGAAATTTATCACATGAATTTCACGTGAACTTTTAAATACAAAATTGGTATTTTTCATGGTTTCGATAAAATTGGAAAATTTAGATGTAATTTGAATCACTTTATTTTAAAAATACATGAGATTCACGTGAAATTCACATGAACTGGTTTTACGTGAGTTTCACGTATAAGCTCGTTTGAGGTGAGATTCACATGAATTTAAATTCACGTGAAACTGATGTGAGTGAAAGTTCCCTGTTTATACAATAGTTGATTGATTGCTGGATAAACATTTAAGATGTTCATTCTCCTTTCAAATAACACGGGTCGATGAGTTTAATAAATGAAGCAGAGGCTGCTGACCAGTTGGGTTCACGTTGTTTTATGTTTTAAAATTTTCAGAATGATACTTTGTGGGGTGTAACTTATCTTTCTCATGTGACTAGTGCTTTGTATGTCTAGTCATTTATAATTTATGATTGTCATCTATCTCAAACATTCCCTTTTGTACAAGTTTGTTTTTTTATTTATACTAATGATATTACCCGACAACATTGCCGTATTTCCTCACAAGTTCTAAATCTGTGTTACAGGAACCCTACAATGTAAAGGGTTTACGTTGAGTGTATCTGATTTATATATTAAAGAACAACTACACCACACACGCCATATTTGTTATTGATGCTCCGCAACTTTTTAATTGGTTTGAGTGTAAAACTGTTTTAATTCGAGCGCCACGGATGAGTCTTATGAGACGGAACGCGCGTATTGGGTACAAGGTTATAAGCCTGTGTTATCCTGATGATTTTTTTCGTACACATTTTTTTCTCTCTAACGTTATTTGTACTATAATTATAGTATTCAGATTTTAAAGTCTACGCTCCTTTTGCGTTTTTCGGTCATTTCTCTTGGTTTTACTACTTCAAAATTTTATGATGGGCATTTTATGGTTTATCAATGCAGTCATTTCTTTTTCAAAGCACCTTTCTTTTCATTGGTTATAAAGTTGTTAAGTGGCCAAGGAAGGATAACTTGAAGTAGAAATATTCAGCTCTCTCAATACATTGGTTTGCGTAACGTCCAGTTGCAAATTATTGCATGAATACTCAGTTTATATGTACTATATCGATTATTCTCACCATTAGCTCCTTTAAAGATGAATAATACATGATGTATGGACTTTACATAGAAGTTCCATACGATTCTGTAATTAAATGTTAATTTGCATTCCAATAGTTATATTCTATTTCCGTAAAAAATGCAATAATATGACTGCATGTGCTGTTCAAGAAGAATGCATAAAAAGTAAAATATAAATGTATTCATAATAATTGAATGCTTCTTTTTGTAATATTAAAAGAGTTGTTAAGGAGTTGAATGTAAGCGCTTCATACAAAATGTGCTTTGATCAACGCTTTTACGTTGCAATAAAATTACAAAAAAGAAACATTCCATTCTTAAATGTGGTAAGTATCGATGATTAACAGAGTATCACATAAGATGGTGAACATGTATCTCGTACTGAATATACATGTAATATTTGCCACAGTACGTTAAGCAAACATCAGTCAATCAGTCATAAGACGGTGCTCGAAAAAGACTGTATAATTCAATAAAGCTAAAAGATGAAGGCTGCATAGTGCATCGTGTCCTTTCAGATATTGGTTAACTGAATATTTCATAATTGGGATGTTTATCTCATAAACATCAACCCAATGCTCAGTTAAGTACATGAAATACCTTCTAATCTTTAAAACTTATTTAGATATTGTTTAGTGATTTTTCCACTGTTGACAAATCGTATTCCCGAAGCAATTATGTGACATTTGAATACAAACAGGATAATGTACCCAACCTATTTCTTGAATGATGAAATAAGTTCAAGAGGAGGGCATGTCCTAATACTAGTGTATTGACGCGGCGTCGACCGGCCATTGCTCTTCCTTGACCGTGTAGTCAGCAGTACTACGTCTTAGTCTTTCGTTTTTATAGGACCGGAATCTAACAAACAACCTACCACATTCTTATCATGGGAAAGCCCGGATGTATGACAGCTTACACAATAAAATCCTAAGACCAAAGTGGTCTTTTTGTGAGGGGATATATGTAATTAGTTTTGATTTTAGTTGATTAAAATGGGTTAGAGAAATATGATATTTCATTTGCTTGTCATAAAAAGTAACCATCCATTCAAATTACCTTTTTAAAATATTCTTTCATAATACCCAGAAAAGGAGTTGGTTCCGGACCAGGAACACCAAGTCTTTTCCACATACTGTGCTTCCATTTTGAATATCTAAAATCAAAACAATTAAATTTGAAGGTCAATGATTCACTACTCCTCTTTATATTTGAAGGTCAATGATTCACTACTCCTCTTTATATTTGAAGGTCAATGATTCACTACTCCTCTTTATATTTGAAGGTTTATGATTCACTACTCCTCTTTATAGAGCTTAACCTGACTTATACCGCACATCACTTTTTCTTAATTACTAAGAAACATGTCGCGACGCCATCTTTAATGAACACCGACAAACTACAGCAATGCGTCTATTTGAATTGTCTTTAAAAGAAGACTGGTTAACTAGGATCTGTTAATCTAATACTTCATGGATAATGTACCCGACTAATCTGCTGTACATAAAATGCATTACTTATTTTCATAAAGAACGATGCATGGATAGTTTCATTGGTCGCATCTCAAAATGAAAAAGAACGTCACGCCATTGATTGAATGTATTATTTCAATACCAGGCTGAAGCTAGCGAGCAATAACCAAGTTCATTGTTCAATATTTTTAGCTGCACACTTTGGGAAATTTTATTTCGATTCTGAAATTGCTAAATTCGATGATATTGCTTAACTTCCAGACACATCAAACTGTAACAATTCGAATTGAGCTAAAACATTACAAGAATATGTTTGTTCTTCGGTCAGTTCAAATATAAATATTCTAGGTGTGGTTTTTTTTATAACTTTATCTCATTAAATGTGATATAAATCAGGAAAGAAGTATCGATTTGGCTGCAATTGAGCGCAATGTTATGATTTTTCAGGAGTTCAACACTACAACTCATAATGTGGATATCTAGTTCGCTGTGTAAATACAAATGAATATCTAACAAAAAGAAATCTCATAAGAATATCTCAAGTTAATAAACGTCAACTTTACTTGGAGAAATCAAAATATATCTTCATATCTTATTTATTCTCATAAGTTCTTTTATGATCGCATGCCATCATGTTATTGTTTGTTCAGAGTACGCAAGGAATCGGTTTCAGCACAAACAAAAATAAATTAGCAAAATTTACAAGTCAGAACAGTACCATAAGCAATGATAAGCAATTAATGCTCTCAATCGATAACCATTTACTTAATCCTGATCATCAGTATGTATAGTGAATCGGATAAGTAGGAGAAGGATCACAATCCAGTACGAATGGAGTCCCTTTAAAAACATACCATCTTTCAAATGGGATATATCGTACCGAGATGAAATTAATCAAAGATACTAAAATGTGTAATATAATCAATGCAGTTTGACTTGTTTTTCAAATATAAAAAGAAGATGTGGTATGATTGCGAATGAGACAACTCTCCACAAGAGACTGCTGCACTCAAATATATTTCTATTTTTAGTTGATTCAACCATCACATATAATGCGTTATTCATTAATCAAAAAAGCTAATCATAAAAGCCTTTTGATGACAAAGTATGAAGGTAAAAAATACAGTATACGAGCCTCGGGTCATTTTGTGTTCCACTGGATTCTTACATCATACGATAAAGCGCTCATGTATCAATTGTATCGTAACTACTATAAATTAATAAAACTACAATTTCTCTATTGATATACACAAGTTTTTACGAAATAAGATTCTTTTAATCTTTTAAACGATTTTTTTTTTCAACTTTCAAAATATCTACTATTATATCATTAACTTAAATAATTTCCGGGAAATGGTGTTCGGTCCCTAAGGGAGCAACCATTTAACTTCAAGGGTGGAAAAATGGGGGGGGGGGGGGGGGGGGGGTTAGGTTTTTTGTCCGAGTCAGAAATTTTTTTTTCGCGCAAAGCGAACATTTTTTTTTCAGTTCTTCAAAGCTATCAATCAAATTATTTTTTTTTCAAAATTTGACACTATAAGGTATGGGGAAAATCTAAATAGATTTAGAACTTGATATTACTTTATTATTTCTTTGGTATTTTGGGTGCTCGTTATTATGTATTGAGGTTGTGTTGATATAGTTTTATTTATATAAGAAGTTTTTTTCAGTTGAATAGTTAGAAATTAGGATCCGGCAAAAACACAAAAGATGACAAGACCGGGAAGTACATTGAAACTAGGTTTTAACATTTCAAAGAAGCATCCCTAAGTCGGGAACCTGTTGTCCTGTGGTTGTCGTTTGTTGATGTGGTTCATAAGTGTTTCTCGTTTCTCGTTTTTTATATAGACTAGACCGTTGGTTTTCCTGTTTGAATTGTTTTACACTAGTCATTTTGGGGTCCTTTATAGCTTGCTGTACGGTGTAAGCCAAGGCTCCGTGTTGAAGGCTGTACTTTGACTTATAATTGTTAACTTTTTACACATTGTGACTTGGATGGAGTGTTGTCTCATTGGTACTCATACCACATTTTCTTATTTCTATATACATTAAGATTAATCCTTTAAATAGTGATATTTTCTCAAAAGCAGAAGTGGATACGTTGTTTTATTTACCGTAAACATTAAATCGCGGTATTTTGAAACAGTTGATAGGTGTAAAGATGAAATTTACTCGACTGAATTGAGTATTGTGAACGGCTTTGGTTCATTCAATGGATGATATACCGAAGGGAAGTTTGGAAATTGTTTATCATTAAAGTTGATACGAATGATGCATAAATCAACATAACATAACGGTGTTTACAGTCCTCGTTCTAATTGGAAATATAGAACCTTCTCAAACACTTAAACATTTTGCTTAGTTCTTTAATTTGAAGTTCAGATATATGAATATGTAATGTCACTCTATAACCCACATTTCAGTCCTTGCTTGCATTTCATATATCCAAGTGAGCTTGTGGCAAAGGCCACTACCGAATCTAGAATGGCTGCTTAATATCTTGACCTTTTCTTTGATATTGGCACAGATTGACGACTTGAAACAAAAGTCTATGACATGTTACATTTTAATTTTCAAATGTCAATGTCTCAGTTCTCAATAGAAGCATACCTTTTGTGTCATCGTATGGTGTTTACGTATCCCAAATGATACCTTAAGCTCATGCATGTTGACAATACCGACTTCATGAACAGGGGTGTGCTCCTGACACATGTTGCACCCGTGTGTTGCTCGTTTTAATACAAATTCAGTTATATGTACAGAGCTATGATGAAGAAACTGCGACTGAACAACAAAATAAGTTTTATGGTCACCATCACGAATTGCGTTACCTTTAAGCTTTACAGTGTCTCAACTCATTAGCAACATTTTTTCGCAGTTTAAGAAATTTGTTTTGAATACTAAGTACCATATCAGGTCTGAAAATTTACCATTTGTGTCCCATTTCTGCTTGGGACATTTTGACTGATTGTGATTCGCAAATGCTGTTGACGCATCTGATTTCAACTATTTTTGAAGTTCATGGGATTCCCTCAGTTTTTGTCAACTATTTTTAAAGTTCATGGGATTCCCTCAGTTTTTGTCAACTATTTTTGAAGTTCATGGGATTCCCGTAGTTTTTGTTTGAAAAATTGAACATCGGTATTTTTTCATTTGCTTGCATATATTGTAATAAAACAAGAAGCTCTCAAGAGCCTGAATCGCTCACCTGTAATTTTTTGCTTAAATCTTTCATCAATGATTATTTATGCTTTTCAATATATATTAATGAGTGGCTTAAAAATGCCATTTAAATGTTCTTTGCATCTGTCATATTTTTTTCAAAAGCAAAAAAATGCATTTTACCCCTATGTTCCATTTTAGCCATGGTGGCTATGTTTCTTGACGTACAAGGAAATAAAATACAAAATTTATACTAGATACTCTGAAACTCATTCAGCCCACGTTTGGCTGACATTGATTCAGCAGTTTCAAAGGAGAAGATTTTTTAAAGTAAGCAAACCAAATGAACAAATTGTGAAAAATTGTCTTTAAAGGGCAATAACTCCTTAAGGGTTCAATTGACAATTCTGGATATATAAAACTTATTTGTTGATCTTACTTTCTTGAACATTTCTGCTGTTTACAATTCATCTTTGTCTATAATAATATTCAAGATAATAACCGATAACTGCAAAATTTCCTTAAAATCATGAATTCAGCGGCAATAACCTAAAAATAAGATACCCGATTTGGCTGATAATTTCAAGACAGGTAGACCTTGACCTAATGAATATCTAACTTCTTGTCTGATTTGCTATAAATGCTTTAGTTTTAGAGATATAAGTCAAAAACTGCATTTTACCCATGTTCTATTTTTAGCCATGGCGGCCATGTTTTCTGCGGAAATAAAAAAATAAAACACAAACTTTATTCTAGATACCCTAAGAATCATTCAGCTTAAGTTTGGTTTAATTTGGTTCCCTAGTTTCAGAGGAGAAGATTTTTTAAAGTTAGAAAACATGATAAACAAATTGGGTAAAATTGTCCTTAAAGGGCAATAACTCCTTAAGGGGTCAATTGACAATTTGGTCATATGAACTTATTTGTAGATCTAACTTTGCTGAACATTTTTGCTGTTTACAGTTTATCTTTGTCTATAATAATATTCTAGATAACAACCAAAACCTGCAAAATTTCCTTAAAATTACCAATTTAGTGGCAGCAATCCAACAATGGGTTGTTAGATTCATCTGAAAGTTTCAGGGCTGATAGAACTTGACCTAAAGAACATTTTTATCCTGTCAGATTTGCTCTAAATGCTTTAATTTTTGAGATATAAGCCAAAATCTGCATTTTACCCCTATGTTCTATTTTTAGCCATGGCGGCCATGTATTTTTACGAAACAGAAATTAAAACACAAATTTTATTCTAGATACCCTAAGGATCATTCAGCTTAAGTTTATTTGGAATTGGTTCAGTAGTTTCAGAGGAGAAGATGTTTGAAATAGTTTACACCGGACGGACGAAGACAACGGACGCCAAGTGATGGCAAAAGCTCACATTTCCTATGGAAAGGTGAGCTAAAAACTACATTACGTACTCTAACAATATATTCAGGTAAAGAGTAACTTGCCTTCCCACTACTCTAAACCTTAATGGGGATTAAAACTTTATTCATCAATTACAAATACAAATTAAAAG